TGTGTGCATATTTCTCTGCAAATGTTTCCACCTCCCAGCGACCACCTCCTTCAGACTCTTCACCTTTGCTTCTGTGATAACCTCCAGGCCGGTCCCCACATCTTTCCCGTCCTCGTTCTTACCTAACCAGGCTTTGCTCTGCTCTGGGCTGGAGTGGAAGACTGAGCTGGTCCCTCCCCGGCGAAACCTAGCCGTCTCCTGGGCACGCATGGGGAATCTTGATGAGACAGTTGTCAAGGTGGCTCCACAGATTGAGCACCCCTGGCCACTAACCTCTAAGTGACAGTACCCCCTCCCTCCAAATCACCCATTTTGATGATCAGAAGTCCTCTCCTTCCCCCATCTCAATTTACAAATAATCCATTAAGGAAATGGTCCCACATCCCCTGTGAGAACCACTTCTATACCTGGGGTCTACAGATGCCTCGGCCTCAGAGTTCAAATATTCTCTACGAGAAACTCAAAAGTTGTGTTTGTTTTAACCATCTTGCAAGGGCCCAGAGCCAACCCTGATGTGTGGCGTCACGTGACAGGTTGTACCCCCAGCTCACGCACTTTCGTATATCCCAGGAGGCCGCCCAGCCTGCGGTGGTGTGGAGCCTGCGGAGGGCCCCAGCAGGGCTGCGGGGTCCAGGAAGGGGAGGGCGGGGCTGCAGCCAGCACCTGGTCCAGTGGAGGATGCTCCGCCAAGGGCCGTGGCACGGCCCTCGTGGAACTCCTGGCAGGTGATGAGCAATCCGCACAGATGGCTGCAAGTTGGGAAGATGACAAAGTGACAGAAGCATCTTCCAGCACTTGTGTTGTTTTTAAAATGGATCCCCAAAGTGAAGCCTGCTGACAGTTTTCACAGATCTATCCTGTAGTGTGTGTTCTCCCAGTTTCTGTAATGAAGACAGTGGAATTCCCCTGGAAGTAATAGGAAGAAGTGTTTTTGCAGATGAGCTTATTACAATTCACTGCGCCCGGCAGACGCACTCAGAAAAGGTGAAACTTCAGTGGCGAATGGCAACAGGAGGAGAAAGATCAGGCCCTGCCGCTCATCTCAGGAGCCTCGAGGGTGTTCAAATCGGAGACCTGTGGAGGACCTCGCTGCCAGAGTGCAGTGACTGCCCAAAAACCTTGAAGAAAGGAGAGGAGAGAAAAGGAAAATCAGAGAGAAATTAAGAAGGAAAAGGGAAGGAGAAAAACTGGAAAAGAAGTGTTGGATTATAAAAGAAAGCAAGAAGAGGAATTAACGAAAAGAAACAGAAAAGGCAGGAGACAGAGCAGCTCGAGAGCGCGTAAAACAGCAGATTGCGCTGGACCGTGCAGAGGGAGCTCGTTTCTGCAAAGACAAGAGAAGAGATAGAAGCTGCTAAAGCTACTGCCTTGCTGGCTAGACAGGCAGAAATAGAGGGATGCTTCTGCAAGAGAAAAAAGCACAGTTGCAAGAATTCAGTTCCCTCTTCCTGATGGTTTTTTCTTTACCAATCAGTTCCCTTCCGATGCTCCTCTAGAAGAGGCAGGGCAGTTTGCTGCACAGACTGACGATAACACTTACGATCATTTTTCTTTAGCAACTGTGTTTCCCAGGAAAGAATTTACCAAAGAAGATTATAAAAACACATTATTGGATTTGTAACTCGCCTCAAATGCTTCAGTGGTACTGTTGGCAGCAGGAAGACCAGCTGCATCCATGGTACATTCTTCCAGTGCAGACTTTTGGACATTGTTGGGGACAGTACTTTACCATTCCTTGCCATCTGGAGCTCTATTAGCAGCTTCTTATTTAGTAGCCCTCCCGCACAGACCTCAGTGAGAGCAGCATCTTCGGAACCCTCAGGGCTGGCATCATGTAGTCTCAGAAAAAAAGGAGAACCCGTCAGAGGAAGAATGATGGAGAAATGGGGGGAAGAAGAGGAAAATATATAGATTGAGGACTCAAGGGGATGGTGAAGATGAAAACACTTGGAATGGAAATTCTACTCAACAGATGTAGTGTGACAAGTACATTGTGTGCAATAATCATTGTTTCTCTTATGATGTAACTCAGCTAAAATTCTCCTGGAGAGATGGGACTACTTTATGTTTTCTAACCTGTCGAGAAGGTGTCTCTTTATTCCTGCTTAGTGCGTTGAAGTTGTTTAACTCTGACAAGTCAAGAGATAAAAGAACTCACTGCTAGGTGCTTGCAGATGGTAACCAACTGCTGGAAGTCTAAAAGGATCAAAAGATCTGCCACAACCTCCCTTTATCAACTTTCTTAGTATTTCATATTCCCATTAGCCATGTGTTCTCAGATAGTACCTTTTGTTTAGAGCGATTTTGCTCCAGAACTCCTATGCCCACATAAAGTAACTGGTATGTCACTGAGTAATTTGACTCAGAGCATTTTAACTAGCCAATCAGATTATCTATGATTTATTTTCTCTACGCTCTTGAGCTGCAAGCAAAATCTTATAGTTTTTCCATCTTAAACACAGAATAAAAACTCCTTTCAAAAAACTGATTTAAGCATTTTCAGGGTCCCCTTTGGTTCCTGTGTTGATAGTTGGCCTTGAGTGATCTGTCATAGCCTCAGCATTTCACTTTTAGTGTCAGCTTTTAACCCAGGTTGTTGGAAGCCCAAGTTTACAGGTTTTCAAGTTTAAGAAACACTGCTGGATCTGGGCCACTCCCGACAGTTGTGCAAGTTCATAGCACAAGAGTGTGGCGTGGCCACCTTGATGAATTCTTACAAGTCTACTGTTTATCATGGTTTCCACCCTTGGGACTGTGTTTCCCCTGAAAGGTTCTTTTGTCTAATTCTCATGAAAGTGATGTAGGGTTGGCATTGGCTCTAGTTACGTGCTGTTCCCAGATAAATTGTTCTAAAATGTAGCTGTGTTTATAATGCTCCTCTATTTAAATGTTCCCGTCTGAATTAGACTCAATTTAAACGTGTTCCTCTGCCCTTAGCTGCAGCTGCATCTTCCCTGTAGTTTGCCCTTCTGCCAAGCTGAGTCCAAGCACACTGTGACTGTCTAGCCTGTCTGCTGCTCACTACCAGGACTGGGATACCTGTCACCCTCTCTGCCTGGCACAGTATCGGAGCTTCCAGGCCCTGCCTACCATGGATTACACTTACCTGGATTATGTCCATGCTTCTCTCCACCCCAGCTAATGTCATGTCTTCTTCGAATTATCATAGTGTAGTTAGAGGAACCCAGTCTTAGAACCAAAAATATCATTTTGATTCTAGTGAAGCCCTTTTCATCTGTAAAGCATGAAAACAAAACAAAAACATCTACTCAGCATTAGCAGGACATTTTGAGGATTAAGTGCTTGGGTCTGTGCCTGTCCCAGGCAAGGTGCTCCACCACTGGGGTCACCTGCCACTTCTTCCTGGGAACCCCGTTATTTCTGCTCCTGCAGCTTTTCCTGGGCTCCGCTGTTATACCTTTTTGGAGTATCTCCTAGACTGAAAACTCCTTAAAGTATAAAGTCTGCCTCTTGTTCATTTTAATATCTCTGTGGTACCTGCCGCAGGTTTTGTATATAGTAAGTGCTTAAACATCTGCTGAACTGAATTGGAAGTTTAATCTCAAACTTGCCAAGTCTGTTAGAAATATCATCTTACTAGTCTGCCCATAGCAGGTGGTGAAGAGAGCTCCGAGCGTCGGGGAGGAAGCGAATGTGGAGCTTTTGGGTGAACTACAGAGTACTTTCCAAAGTTGATGCCTTTAGTACTCAGATGGAAATGCCTGTGGAGCTCTGTGCGTTACCCCTAAAATCTGTTCCTTTTGACTAGTGTTTGTTCATGTCTAAAGAAATGATGGGTGATTGTGGGGGTTTTTTGTGTGTGTTTATCCTTAAGCTTTCTCTTTTTATTCCGTAAAATTTCTCCAGGCAAGTAAAATAATTGGAGTGATTGACCAAATTCTATTTTCCAGGGTGCTGTGCAGAATGAGGAGGGTCACAGGTGGGAATGAGGTGTGAGGGCGCTGTGGCAGGGAGGGCGCACAAGAGAGGTTTTTAAATAGCTGCTCTGTAGCCTTAAGAGAAATGGATAGGTGAAGCGGAATTATAAGGTACTCTGGTTCAACTCATGCACCACCTCTTCAAGAAACACACAGTGAAGATGTGTGTTCTTTAGCAAGGTTTCTGGAACTTCATTTGCATTTTATTTGATTCCTCATTGGGCATATTAGATCGCAGGGTAATCCAGCTATGTTAGGGGTACAGTAAAAAGGTCTCTTACAGCTCACATTCGGGGAGGAACCAGACTAATAAAAAGAGAATCCTTGATGGAAGGGTTGAGAGCCATGGTTATTCAGAGCCAAGACATGCAAAAGGGAGGAAAATTAGTAATTAGACAAAAAGCAAAATCACAAAGTTGAGAATGTCTAAGTTTGTTTTTGTTTTGTTTTGCTTGAGTTAGGTACGAAGTTGGATTTTGAGGAAGTTTCATTAAACCACATTTGTACATAAAGTATTTTTAAGAAAAAGAGACCATTAGTATAAGTGAGCTTGCTGTATGTTGACAAAGCTGCATGAGATAATTTTACTTGTCTTTCTACTCTTTGACCTCATAACAACTACTTTTGGCTACTTCTGTCGAATTTAAGATATGTGACATGAACAAAGAATGAATGTCTCTGATTGATGTCATGATTGTTTTCTCTTTCACAGTTATGCAAATGAACTACTCTCCATCAAACTGGAAGTTTTGTCCCAAGGGCAAGAGAACCTAAGCTGGAATGAAATTCAAAATTGTATCGATATGGTTAATATTCAGATTCAAGAAGAAAATGACCGTAAGTATGGAACACTTATTTTCTCTAGCATAATGGGAGACTAAGGTGTCTGGACAACGTCATTGTCTAGATTAGGGCTACAAATTGTTGCTCATGGAGCCCTGTGAAAACACTCCTAATATGTGTGTATGTATTTATATGTAATGCCTGTACTACTGTACCAACATATTATAAACCTCACAAAGCGCACATAAAAGACATGAAAGGACAGACTCAAACATGAATGGGGTGTGATGAGAGCAGGGCGCCTGAAGCATGGCTCCTCTGTGTATAACACATCCAACAGGAACTTGGGTTTCCTTCTCACAGGTGGCAGGATGCTGTGACCTTCCTGTGACATTGTACCCCATACATGGAGAAAAAGTACATAAGATTGTAATCATTTTTATTTATTGGTACTTGTGATATGACTACTCTATGTAACTCATTTTTTTAGGCACTCAACTTTATTTTGACCTTTCATTTGGGCATTTTAAATACGATACATGTTTCTGCTCTAGGAAGTAATTGGAATGTAATCCAACTGTCACTTTATAATAAGAAGTCAGAGTGATTTGTTGTGTTTCTAGAAATTAGGAACTACTAGCATGAAAGTGGACAATCCCAAGAAGATAAGCCCTGAAACACGCTTTCTTGAATGTCAACTTGCTTCCTTATCATTTGCCTCTTGCATATGAAAACAGTGAGGAATGAGGAGCTGTGTAACTTCAGCAATCAGTTTTTCACTGCTTTTCTATAGCATTACCAAATTCCAGCTTTAAGCTGGTTTTTTCCCATCATATAAACAAACAGCCTTGGCCAGTGTGGTTCAGTTGGTTGGGCGTCGTCCCATGCACCAAAAGGTTGCTGGTTCGATTCCTGGCCAGGGCACGTGCCTAGGTTTCGGGCTCAGTGGGCATGCAGGAGGCAGCCAATCAGTGTCTCACTCTCACATTGATGTTTCTCTCTCTCTCTTCTTCTCCCTTCCTCTCTCTCTAAAAATCAATAAAAGAAATAAAAATTTAAAATAAGAACAAACCAGTACCGTCATCTTTGGCTTTCTCCAAGCTCTTTGACTTGTCAGCAATATTGGATTAGGATTGCTAATGTTGTTGATCTCCCTTCTACCCTGTGGCTTTGATTTATTTTTCTAACTCATTATTCTAAGTCGGCTGCTAAAGTAGGCAGATACTTCTCTTACAGGTTTAGGGTGTTTTGTTGTAGTGTGTTTTGGTAAGGTCTTAGGTCTGGTCTTCCAATGCTTTAATTTTAGGATAGTAAAATTACTCAAGATAAAATGGATCACTTTGGCCCTGGCTGGTTTGGCTGAGCGGTTAGAGCATCAGCCTGTGGGCCAAAGGGTCATGGGTTTGATTTCTAGTCAAGGGCATGTGCCTGAGTTGCAGGTTCGATTCCTGGTCGGGAGTCAGGCAGGAGGCAACCAATCGATGTGTCTTTCTCATGTCAATGTTTCTCTCTCTCTCTCTCTCTGTCTCTCCCTCCCTTCCACTCTATCTAAAAAAAAAAAAATCAATAGAAAAATATCCTCAAGTGAGGATTAACAAAAAAGGGGGAGGGGTCACTTTCTTAATTGCATTTCCATAGTTTTCTTCTCTTTTTACTATTTCCTGTGAGCACTGTGCCCAACAGCAAGGCTGGGTTTGATTTTTTGTTAACCACCGCACTCTAAGTCCCAAATAGAAAACAGGGTCCGGGAATGCTGCCTTGACGTCATGTACCATGAATGTACCACTGTTACCCTGATCCCTGGACACTCTCTTCCTTTTATCCCCCTCACGTTGTGTACAAATCTAAATTTACTTTCACAATCACATAGTTTTCTGCTGCCTCCACATTTTCTTTCAGTGAGACATTTCGGAATCCCTCTAGTCATGTGGCTTATGTATGGCCCACTTAGCTCTTGCCCAATACATTGGCTTGGGAGTTGGCGGTTCTTGACAGATGGTAGTCGAGCGGGAAGCACTGGTTTGAGCAGATGTTCGACATCTACTGGTGGGGAAAGACAACACTGGTGTCTGTGTCCTGTTACAAAGCTCAGTGCTCCCGCCCACGGCCTTACTGCCTTCCTCCTCAACTGCCAGCTCCACACTTGGAGTCTCCTGCAGCGATGGTTTGGGTGCTTCGACTAGTGCCACCCAAGGGTAGGACTCCTCTCTTTGGGTAGGCAAAATGAAGAATCATGTCTCTTCTTTGTTTTCTAGCTTTTTCCCAATTTTTTTTCATTAAAAAGATTTTTATTGAATTTATTGGGGTGACATTGGTTAATAAAATTATAGGTTTCAAGTGTACAATTCTATAATACATCATCTCTATATTGTATTGTGTGTTTACCACCCAAAGTCAAGTCTTCTTCTGTTATAATTGATCTCCCTCTTAACCTCTTCTACCTCCCCTCACCCCCTTCGCTCTGGAAATCGCCATTCTATTGTCTATTTGAGGCTGTTGTTTCTTTGTTCTCTGTTTTTAGCTTAATCCCTTCACCTTTTTCACCTCCTCAACCCCCTCACCTCTGATAGCTATCAGTTTGCTCTGTATCTATGAGTCTGTTTCTGTTATGTTTGTTAGTTTATTTTGTTCATTATATTCTACATATAAGTGAAATCATATGCTATTTGTCTTTCTCTGGCTGGCTTATTTCGCTTAATATAATACTCTTCAGGTCCATCCATGCTGTCACAAAGGGTAAGATTTCCTTCTTTTTTACAGCCGAGTAGTAGTCCATGACTGTCCCCCAGTTTTTTCTGACAGGACCACAGTCCAGGACTGCTTTGGTGAGTTTGGTATGTGCTGCTTATGCAGGCGAAGGTGCCTGAGTTCTCAGTGCTGAACAATTGTACTTTTACCCTCATTCTTGACTTTGATTTTTAAAAGGGATGGGGGAGCACCATTTTTGTGCCGGACTATCTAATAGAGCCTTTGCTTTTACAAGAAAAGAAAAAGTAACATTTGTATAATTTAAAAAGAAAGTGGTTTTTGGTATGCGGTTATCATTTTTAAAGAAAAATCTCTTTAGATTGGCATGGCATTTATCTAGGTAACTGGGGTACTATTATTCTCCACAGGATGTATCACATGGCTACTATCACACTTATTTTAAAAATCTTGTCATGAAGGACATATGCAATAACCAGAAGAGTTATTTCAGATACTCTATATCATATTTCCCTTCTAATATTTGGGGAATTTAATATAATCTATTAAAGAATACATAATTTCTTTCTTTTGTTATTCTGTCAAAATGAGGCGTTTTTGTTTAAAGTTCTTCCTGTATTGAGTTTGATATCATATATTTAGGTGATTGCTAAAAAAGCTAAATGTTAGCCAGACCAGTAGATTGAGTGTCGTCACATGAACTGTGAGGTCCTGGTTTGATTCCTGGTCAGGGCACATGCCCGGGTTTCAGGCTCAATCCTCAGTGGGCAGCCGATCGATAGTTCTCACATCGATGATTCTATCTCTCCCTTCGTCTCTCTCTAAAAAAAAATCATTAAGAAAATTATTTTATTTTATTTTTTTAAATCCTCACCCGAGGATATTCTTCCTTTATCTTCAGATAGAGAGGGAGGGAAGGAGCGTGAGAGAAAGAGAGAGAGAGAGAGGGAGGGAGGAAGGGAGAGAGGGAGGGAGGGAGGGAGGGAGGGAGGGAAGGAGGGAGGGAGGGAGAAAGGAAGGAAGGAAGGAACGAACGAACGAATGAACGAACGAATGAACACATCAATTGGTTGCCTCCCACACGACCCCAACACGTGCTAGGGACCAAATTACAACTGAGGTATATGCCCTTAACTGGAATCAAACCTGAGATTCTTTGGTCCATGGGCCCATGCTCTAACTGCTGATCCAAACCGGCCAGGGCTAAAAAAAATATTTTTTAAAAAGCTAAATTTTAAAACTACAGTTTGTGAACAGGCATGAATTATACAATATGGTAATTAAATCATCTGAAAAGCACTGAAAATTTTTCGTGGACATCTTGAAAATGCATTACTCCCCCCACCCACCCCTGCCACGTGCTCCCAGGTCTGCTCCTCTGTCTGATTTGTGATGTGGATAAGGTATGCAGCTAATGGGAAGTAGTAAATGTAGAAGGCGAATTTAATGGAGAAGCTGCTAAATGCATTTTCTTGACTTGAATACCCTCTTGATTTCATACTGGAAATTTCACTTTTCCCAGTGCAGCCATAGAGGAGCATTATTTTAGCCATGTAGCCTAAACAAGGAAGTTTTCTTCCTTTGAATTTCTTTCTACATTTAGTAGGTACTATTCTTTGTAGGGTACCTCCTCTGCTTCCTCAAATACCCAGCCTCTAAGAGGATGCCCATTCTCTCATTGGACTATAACATTTTAGTGTTAGAGTCTCACATGATGACTTAAGGAAGTGGGCCATGAACTGAGGCTCAGCAATCTTTGTAAAAATGGGATTTCCTCTTGACTTATAAACAGAGGAAGTGTTGCAGATGTGCTCAGGGGGCTCCTGAGTAGGTCTTTCAGCTCCTGTGAGGTCATTTACTATGACCTCAGAAGCTTGTGTCTTAGAAACTCACCAGCAAAACTTAAACAAGTGATTTCAATCGAGTCAGCTGGAATGCACTCAGTCCCAGGTGAGCAGCCAACGGGAACACACATTTGTTATAGTTTTGTTAAGATTATTTTTGGATGGGGTGCTTAAAAGTGTTTAGAACAGTCTACCCAAGGTGGATAGAGAGTGAAATGAAGTATTCTGTGCTGTCCGTTTTATAACTACTACAGGATGAAATGATGATACCTTGCTCTGGCCAGGTGGCTTAGTTTGTTGGAGCATCGTCCCATACACCAAAAGGTGGGGGGTTCAATTCCTGGTCAGGGCGCATACCTAGGCTGTGGGTTTGATCCCCAGTCGGGGCACATAAGGAAGGCAATTGATTGATGTTTCTCTCTCATATTGATGTTTCTTTCTCTCTCCCCCGCTCCTCTTCCTCACTCTCTAAAATCAATTAAAACAAACACACACATATCTGCCCTGGCTGGCTTGGCTCAGCAGTTAGAGCATCAGCCCGAAGACCAAAGACTCATGGCTTCAATGGTTCATTTCCTGGTCAAGGGAACATACTTCAGTTGCGGTTTGATCCCCAGCCCCAGTCATCTTGACATTGGTTTTGGGAGGCAACCAATCAATGTCTCTCTCTGACATCAATGTTTCTCTCTTTCTCCCCCTCCCCCCCTCCCTCCCACTCTACCAATGGACAAATATCCTTAAGTAAGGATTAAATATATATATATATATCTCCATCCATCCATTCTCAGGTGAGGTTTGTCAGTCTGAACCATCCTCCTTTCTATGTCTCTGGGTCTATTTTGTTCATCAGCTTATTTG